TTCCCCCCCAGCAACAATTTAGACATAGGCTTAACTGCTTTGCAGAATTAAGACCTTCACTGGTCATATGCCCCGTTCCCCAGACAGGAAATGGCTGTTTATTAAAGAGTACATCTCTGGCAAACAGCTGGCTGCTGCTCTAATGGGGTAACTGGGTTATGATGACAAAATGTAAGCAGAAAGCAGGTCCTATTCTGTACTTGCCAAAAATATTGTAAGTAACCTCTGATTGTCCATTGGAGCTTTATTACTTCATCACAGTATAATTGTAAGTTTCGTAACATCTTCTTTTCCTTTAGCATCAATCAGGCTTCCAAAATGAGAGAGAAGCTTCACTCTGAAGCACTGATAAAAGGCTTCAGTCTGGCTGCTGAGAATTCATCCGCAGGGCCCAATGCACTAGCAGCATAAAACTGGCATCATCAGCGAAACTGGGAGTCAGTAATCATGAGGAATTTCAGACAGACGATATAATCCAGAAGAGGAACGGTTCCCAAACGGTTTCTGGTCTGTAATTTCAGACAGAACTGTTTTAGAACCAGTTCCCTACCGGAATATATTTGTAATTTCAGACACAAACGCTTCTGTCCTTTTTAGGAAACGGGGCTGAAGCGTTTTACCTGTCAACCACTTCCAAGTAGTCTTCAGTTTTCTCTCCCGGTTCCAATGCGCTTTTTCCCGCCGTTTTTCGCCCGCGTAGGCAATCTCCGGCTTTTTTTTTTGAATGTTCGCTTTATAGCGTTATAGCGCTATAACGCAACAGCATTATATCAACCCCATTGAAATGCCGGGAGTGTGTTGTTATAGTGCTATAGCGTTATAGCACTCTAAATGTTCAAAAAAAAAAGCTGGAGATCACCCGCACGGGCAAAAAATGGCGGGGGAAAAGCGGTACAGTCTGAAATGGCAAACCGCTTCAGATCCAGCTCTTTACAGGAAGGGGAAAGCCATGTGTGAAATGGCAGCCCTGTACCGGTTTACTCCATGACGGATCAAAAACGGCTTCAAAACGGGTTAAAAAGGGTAATGTGAAGTTCCTCCATGAGATCAACCTGGAGGATCAGATAGACGCAACTGGGAAAGTATAGTAGGAGCAGGAAAGACAACAAAAGGAAACGATTCAAGGGATGATAGAAAGTCAGAGGCAGCAGTCATGTTGTCCGTCTTTCTCATGAACACACGAAGCTGCCTTATCCTGAATCAGACCCTTGGTCCACCAAGGTCAGTACTGTCTACTCAGACGGGCAGTGGCTATCCAGGGTCTCAGACGGAGGTCTTTCGCATCACCTCCTACCTGGTCCTTTGAACGGGAGACGCTGGGGGTTGAACCTGGGACCTTCTGCGTGTCAAGCGGATGCTCTTCCACTGCACCGTGGACTCGCGCTGCTTCAGTGATCAGCCAGTGATCCAGGACTGCCTACAGCCAAGTTTTTAGGGTGCTTCATCACAGAGGCCGCATCACAGAACAAAGACTCCAGCAAATCACACCTCTATCTTTTGACTGCCTTTGGCCCCTGCCACATGGCAGGGGATAAGTCGCTCAAAGCACGGCTATTAAAAGCCGCACCAAAGTTGAGACGCCGCGGCGGGATCCCACGATCCCCTGGGCCGCGGCACCTTTTCTCCCCAGCACGATCAGATGCCGGGGAGAAAACACAGTTCAGACGAGGAGCCTGCCGAACTGCGCATGTCGGAGCATGCGCAGTTCGGCTAGGAGCCGGGGATGAGCCGGCGCAAAGACGCGCCGGCGACCCGACGGCCCGGCTTGCGGCGCTTCAAGCAGAAGAACCACCCAGGTAGGTGGTTCTTTGTAGTGTGGGTTTTCGGGTGGAAAGGACAGATTGGAGACGGGCAGGCAATGCTTCCCAGATGTTGCCGTGGGATCGCGCCCGTTTGCTCCGCCCCCGATCCGTCCCGCTCCCGGCCCAAAACCCCTAGTGTGAACAGGACCCTAGTGTTCCAGGATTTTTTTATTACAAAGCAGTTTTTCCCCCAGTGTTGTTGATTATCAAGCATGCCAGTCAGGGCCAGATCTAGGTTTCCCTGGGCACTGGATGATACAGTATAACCCGCCAGTCTGCGATCACACACACACTCAATAATCCACTATCAATCCACTTTCAGTGCACTTTGACTCTGGCTTTTACTGTGTGAAACTGGCAAAAATCCAGTTGGAAAGTGCACTGAAAGTGGGTTGAAAGTGGATTATTTCATGTGTGTGTGTGATCGCAGTCCACGTTTCTCTTTGGTACGTACAGCCCCTTTCTCCTCTAACCACGCCCCTTCCATGTGGCCCCTCCCCTTGTTGGGAAGACCTGGATCAGTGTGTTGCAGTATGCAATCAGCAATTTTGTGGACCCAGTAGCAAAACTGCCAACAATATTCTTTGCTTGTAGGAATATGTCTTTGCCAAATGGGACAGAAATGTTCTTAAGAGGCAAAAAAAAAAAAAAGCCTGCTGGGGAACACTGTACTTCCAGGAGAAAGAGTGTCCTGGCATGGAATACTCAGATGTGCTCTATAACCCTAACTTTAAACCTCGAAGGGAGTTGACACATACAGTGTATAGTCTAAACAGTATTGGGTAGTCTAAAAAGAACATTATGACTGTCCAAGTGGATGTGTTAAGTGGATATGTTATGGTGTAGTGGTTAGGAGCACAGACTCTGATCTGGGAGAACCGGGTTTGATTTCCCCCTCCTCTGCATGCAGCTGCTGGTGTGACCCTGGGTCAGTTACAAGATCTTTCAGAGCTGTTCTCTAAGGAGTTCCCGAAAGAGCTCTTTCAGCCCCACCTACCTCATAGGATGTCTATTGTGGGGAGGGGAAGGGAAAGGAGATTGTAAGTCACTCTGAGACTCCTTTGGGTAGTGAACAATGTTCCCTCTAAGCTGAGTTAGTGTGAGCTAGCTCACGGTTTTTTAGCCTTTAACTCAGAGATTTTTGTCCCAGCTCAAGATGGCTCCAGAGCAAACTAATTTATACAGTAGCCAAATCGCTTGCTCACAGCTCTAATGCCAGTAGCTCACAAAGTAGAATTTTGGTTCACAAGACTCCACAGCTTAGAGGGAACATTGGTAGTGAAGGGCAGGGTATAGATCCAATCTCCTCCTCCTCTTCTTAAAATTCCCACAAGGCAGCTCTACCAGCAGTGGCAGAAACTACGGGTGGGATTCCAGCTAGGGTAGCCTATTAATTGTGTAAACTAGCCTAGCATGGGCACACTGACTACATGCATCTGAGAAAGTCCACTCCACAAAAACATAGGCTAGAATTAAAATGTGTTTGTATTTAACATGCGCCAAGGCGTCTTTTTGTGGGTGAAATCTCTGCCTAGAATTCATTGGAACATTGCGGTCCGGTGTTCAAAATTGGTTCAGAAGACATGTGACTCAGACTCCTCCCATCTAGTCTTGAACATATTTGCTTAGGAGTCCTATTGATTTCAACATTATTTATCCTTTATATAGCACTGCAAGTGCCTATGACACGTTTCCTCTCAGGATCACACTAGAATGAATGGCTAGAGGACTGAGGCCATAAATGACAACTTAGGGTTGCCATATTTTGGAAAGCAAAAAAGAAGACACACATTCCCCAACTGACTACTTCAAACAAGTGGGCACTATGACGAATCTCATTTTAAATACCCCTACTATTTAAGCTGTGATTATTGCAACTAACTAGGAATATTTCTAACCTTCCACCCCAAAAAGAGGACATTTTCATCAGTTTTTTATAAAGAGCCAAAAAGAGGACAGACACCTTAATGGGCATATGGTAACCCTAACAATTGTTCTACTACTTTAGTCCAGTGGCACCTTTAAGACCAACAAAGGTTTGCTCAAAGTATGAGCTTTCGTGTGCGCACACACTTTGTCAAATACATTGGAAAGGAAGCTAGATTTTAAACTTATAGATACAGACTGAACAGCAACTTAACATGTAACATGATGCAGATGCTTTAAGATATTCAAACTGAAACTAAATAAAAAGCTAAGGTTATAAAGTCAACAGTTGTTTTTGATTTAATTAAGAGGGGGAAAGGACAGCAAGGTAATAAATGTCAAAATAAGGGATAAATGTGAGAAGGCATCTTTTCTAATTGTGGGAAGTAAACTGGGAGTTAAACTCTCAGGCAAGGAGGTAACTTAATAGCAAAGCATTTCACTATTCCTTACATTACATTCAGTATTCTAATATACTATTCTGAAAAAGAAATACACTAAAATACAGGGGATGTATAGTCCTTGTTGAGAATACATCTGTGAGGACTGAATGAGTTAGCATATGTAATGAGATAAGAAACCAATATCCCTGTTGAGTCCTGGGAAGGTTTTTGTTCCAAGTGTGGTAATAATAATAATTGTTCTACTTGATCAAGATGGGTAGCCCTGTTAGTCTGTCTGGAGCAGCAGAAAAAGAGTCCCCTAGCACCTTAAAGACTAACAACATTTATGGTAGGGTATGAGCCTTTCGTGAGTCACAGCTCACTTGGTTTGGCCTTGGTCCAAGAAAACAATAAAAGTTTCTATACTGGAGCGATCTTGCTACATTCTAACTAACATTACAACGCTAGAATCAGAGCCCAAACTTGTTCACTCAGAAGTACATGGGATGGAAAACAGTCCGTGGGATTTACTCCCAGGCACTAGGAATGGAGACCACGCGTATGCATGTTTACTTATAAGTAAGTCCCACTGCTTTCCAACCGGGAAGAGACTTTCCGCCTCAATCAACCACGCTCCTAAAGAAAGACGGCAGCTCTACGCGCATGTCCATTGTGATGTAACAACTCGCCCTCCGGCGAACCTGGCCCCGCCCACTGACAGGGTTCGCTGGAGTCGTTAGACATTCCGAGGCGTGTAGTTAGCGCTGCCGCCGGGCTGTGTGACGTCACCCACCCCCGCTTCTCCAATTGGTGCTTTAAGGGAAGCGGATATTTCTCCCGAAAGCCGCTGGCGGGACTTTTGTCTGATGGGACCTTGAACAGTGGGAGGCGGCTTTCCCTTTCGCAGGTCTCCCCTCGCGCTGCAACAAGTTGCTAGCGAGCTGTTGTGCGGACGGGTGAGTTCCTCGAGTCGTCGGTAGGGGGGAGTGTGGTGCCTTCCCATTAGAGCAAGGCTGTAATCTGCTCACTTTCGAAGAGGTTGTCAATTGCTTTTCCGCCATCCCCCCCCCCCCAAAAAAATTGGGGGATACGTACTGGGTGGACTTTACCAGCCACGGAGCTGTAAATGCGACGTGTGCTTGCAGCGCAGGCGGTAAGGCTTAAAAACCTTTGCTCTTTGGGAATAGATCCAGGTAGTCAGCCGTGTTGTTTTGAAGCAGTAGAAGAGATTTAGAGTCCTGGGGCACCTTTAAGCCCAACAAAAGTTTATTCAAGGTATGAGCTTTCGTGCGCACTTGCCTTGCACAGAAAAGCTCAGACCTTGAATAAACGTTTGTCGGTCTTAAAAGGTGCCCCACTGGGACTCTAGGTTTGCTCTTTGGGAATGTGAGTCTGGACTTCCGTTTCGTCGGGAATAAGACGAGTCCGTGGGAGCAGTCACACAACTTCCATAGCCCAATGTTCCCTCTAAGCCGTGGCGTCTCATGAGCAAAAATTCTACTTTGTGAGCTCCTGGCATTAAAGTGGTGAGCGAGCCATTTGGCTGCTGCATAAACTAGTTTGCTCTGGAGCCCGTCCTTCCTGAGCGGAGACAAAAATGTCTGAGCCAGAGGTTAAAAAAACTGTGAGCTAGCTCACACTAACTCAGCTTAGAGGGGACACTGGCCCAGACGTGTAGCTGTTTCATTGTGATCCGGTCCTTTGAGGCATTCAGATGGGCACACAACTCACTAATTCTGGAGATTAGGTTAAGACATATTATTTGCTTTAAAAAAAAATGTTTCTACCCTGCCTGTTCTCAAGGTGACTAACAAAAACAAGCAAGTAGCCACCCCACTGTAACCAAATTCTCTCAAAACACTTTCCACTTCCTAAAGTATTCTAATTACCAGCAGAATTCAACAACAAGGAAAAGTCTGTAGCTACCTTCAGAATCCACCGAAGGCCCTTTGGAAAAGGAAGGTCTTTGGGAAAAGGGAGATCTTCCGATTCATGAAAGAAAGCAGTGATTCAGCTTGCCATTCACCCTCAAGCAGGCTAGGCCAGCAGAACAGGATTGATTTCTGATAGGAGCCGAGCAAATCGGGTGGCAGGAACCGATAGGGGAGATGGCGCGCAGTTTTGTGTGGGGAAGAGGAGATCCTGATATTTGAGTCACAAAGAATCATTGAGGCAACTGCTTGATAAGGCATGCTAATGAAGTAGGCTTAAAGGATTGCATTTTCATGTGCAGATTCATTTCCCATGCAGTTATGTTTGTGACTTGCACTTTCTCAAAGAGCTCAGTGTAGTATAAATGAAGTCTCTTATTATACCCACATGGCACTGCTGTAAGGTAAGTTGGCTGGGGCTCTCCACTTGGGGGGAAACTGGATATTATAATACACCCACACCTGCTGCTTCCTTGTGTTCCTTCTTCCCTATAATGTACCGTACAAATGTAGGGTGAGGTCATCATGCTGTGCATCTCGCCACTTGTGCCTTGTGTCAGTGGTTGATAAGCACATGTGGGAAACTATAATTTACTATTACACGTGGCCCGGGCTTTTTTTGTAGAAAAAGCCCAGCCGGAACTCATTAGCATAATAGGCCACACCCAACAGCAGAAACTCATTAGCGTATTAGGCCACACACCTGTCAGCACAGCTCATTAGCATATTAGGCCGCACCCCCATGTTACCAGAAGTCTGGTCATCCAGCCATACCCACCTTTTGCTTCTTATTCTGTTTACCTTGTTTGCTGTCAAAACCCAGGGCCTTTTTTTGTAGCAGGAACTCCTTTGCATGTTAGGCCACACACCCCTAATGTAGCCAATCCTAATGAGTTTCTGCTGTTGGGTGTGGTCTGTTATGCTAATGAGTTCCTGCCAGGTGTGGCCAACTCAGGAGCCAGCCGGAGCTCGTTCCTGTGTGTTCCTGCCCAAAAATAGCCCTGCATGTGGCACTGTAACTTAGTATTACATATGGCAAAGATAATGTTTTTACTGTTTTCATGTGTTTGCTGCCTTGAGGACCCTGATCAGGTGGAAAGGTGGCATAAAATGTTTTAAATTAAATAAATAAAGACGAGGGAAGTCCATTTTCCTTGTAACATCTTATTCCACTCTCAGTGAGGACTTGAACCCCAAACACTTGTCTTGCAAACTAAATGCCAAAAGGGAACAACAAAACCTCCTGTGAATGCAACAATAAGCAGAACTGTAAACCCCTCCCCCCCCAAAAAAAAACCCACCAGGAAAGGATTTTTGTTGTTGTTCAGTCGCAGAGTTGAGTCCGACTTGCGACCCCATGGACCAGATCACGCCAGGCCTTCCTGTCTTCCGCCGTCCTCTGAAGTTGGCTCAATTTCATGTTCGTTGCATCTATGACACTGTCTAACCATCTCATCCTTTGCCGTCCCCGTCTTCAGGAAAGGATAGCTAGTGGGAAACTAAATAAGGAGTCTTTAGAGAAAGATGAAATGTAATTCTGCCCCTACCCCTCTCACTCTGTGTGTAAATGTATTTTTCTGGTTGTCCAAACAGATCAGTTAGGATTTTCAGAGTCAATCTGGGTGTGTTTGGAAACAAAGAATGGAGTCCCGTGCAATAAGTGTGAACCATCACCTCATGCAACGGACAGCAACACTGGCTCGGGAGGTACTGGAGCGGGCGAAAAAACGGAAAGTGATCTGGCCAGGGCCTGCGGGACTCCAGAGGAGGACTCTTCAGGTAAGGATTTCAACAGATAAGTTCTAGTTTTCATGATTGTAATGCTGTTTCTTATGTTACAGAAGGTAGGAAGGAGAGAATTTTGTGCCTCCTACCGAGCAGGGAGAGATGTGTTGACTTAAAATAGTTTCTTGGGGACCTGTGAGGGCATTTTTTCTATGGTTAGAAGTAAATAGCTACACATCATACAAGGGCTGCTGAGAAACAGCCTGCATAATGCTGTATAAACAGCCAGGTGTCCATGGGTTCCATCCTCAGAGGAAACCAGATGTTGCCAGTCACTGTTAGTGTTAGTCCACAAACATGTGGACAAGGGGGACCCAATAGATGTTGTTTACCTTGACTTCCAGAAAGCTTTTGATAAAGTACCTCATCAAAGGGTCCTAAGTAAGCGCAATAGTCATGGGATAAAAGGACGTCCTTTTGTGGATCAAAAACTGGCTAATGAATAGGAAACAGAGAGTGAGTATGAATGGGCAATTGTCTCAGTGGAGGGTGGTAAGCAGTGGGGTACCACAGGGATCAGTACTCAGTCTGATGCTTTTTAACTTGTTCATTAATTATTTGGAGTTGGGAGTAAGCAGTGAAGTGGCTAAATTTGCAGATGACACTAAGTTCAGGGTGGTGAGAACCAGGGAGGATTGTGAGGCACTGCAAAGGGATCTGTTGAGGATGGGCGAGTGGGCGTCAACGTGGCAAATGGGGCTCAATGTGGCCAAGTCCAAAGTGAAGCACATTGGAGCCAAAAATCCTAACTATAAATACATGTTGATGGGGTCCGAACTGGCAGCGACTGACCAAGAAAGAGATCTTGGAGTCGTAGTAGATAACTCAATGAAAATGTCCAGACAGTGTGCAACTGCAATAAAGAAGGCCAACGCTATGCTGGGGATAATTAGGAAGGGAATTGAAAACAAATCAGCCAGTATCTTAATGCCCCTGTATAAATCAATGGTGACCTCATTTGGAGTACTGTGTACAGTTCTGGTCACCACACCTCAAAAAGGATATTATAGCATTGGGAAAAGTGCAGAAAAGGGCAACTAGAATGATAAAAAGGTTGGAACACGTTCCCTATGAAGAAAGGTTAAAGCGCTTGGGGCTCTTTAGCTCGGAGAAACGATGGCTGAGGGGTGACATAATCGAGGTTTATAAGATTATGCATGGGATAGAGCAGGTGGAGAAAGAAGTACTTCTCTCCCTTTCTCACAATATAAGAACTCGTGGGCACTCAATGAAATTGCTGAGCAGTCAGGTTAGAACAGATAAAAGGAAGTACTTCTTCACCCAAAGAGTGATTAACACATGGAATTCACTGCCACAGGAGGTGGTGGTGGCTACAAGCATGGATGGCTTCAAGAGGGAATTAGATAAACACATGGAGCAGAAAACCATCAGTGGCTATAGCCACAAGGTATAGATATGAACTCTCAGTCTGGGGCAAGTGATGCACTGTATTCTTGGTGCCGGGGGGTGGGGGGACAGTGGGAGGGCTTCTAGTGTCCTGGCCCCACTGCTGTACCTCCTGATGGCACCTGGTATTTTTGGCCACTGTGTGACAGTGTTGGACTGGATGGGCCTTTGGCCTGATCAACACTGGCTTTTCTTATGTTCTCTTACGTTCTTAACTTCTTTTCCCCCCTTTTTTGAAAATTATATTGTTGATAAATACAGATGTGAACAACTGAAAATTTCTAGTGAGGAGGGTTTATTCTATATTCTCCTTAGCCTTCTGAAGGTGATATGAATGCATTCAAATACACACATGTGGAGGGAGGAATGGCATGAGCATGTTAACTCAGTCTCTGTGATTGGGAACATTGCTTTTTTATTCACAGGGATGGAACTCTCCTTTTTTTTTATTCGCAGGGATGAAGCCAATATGCATACACTTTGTACAGATAGACAGTTCATGGTCTGGCAGTTACGTGTAGGTAGTGGTGGCGCAAACAAACTCATTACCACTCATCCTCTGTGCACTTTGATTTGAATGTGCAAATGTCATTTGAAGCAAACTCTTGTCAAAATGTCAGGCAGGTGCCTACCCTTCTGTTGTTTAGAAGGTTCTATAAGGCCTATTCAGTAGGGCTTTTAAATATTGTTAGCAAGGGGTCATCTTTTCCAGATTTTGTTTGTCCCTTTGTGACCTGATATACACTCCCCTTGGGGAAAAAATTCAGCCATAAATGTTTTTAAATAAATTAAATAGCAGTGTCTATAAAAAGACCTGAGGATCCCCCAGCCTCATTCCTGTAACACCAAACTGTGTTGCATGTGTATTGAGCCAATGTGTTGACTTATGTTTTTTATAGTGACAGGGAACATTTTGTTTCATGCAAACAGGAAGGTGATGATGAAGATGTGTATCTCAATGCTGCGTTTGCTTCAGTTGCTGAACACATGGGCCATATATCAGAAGAATGTAAGGTAAACTAATTTGAAATGAGAGCAATGACTTTGGGAGTTGGCTGCAAGAGATTTGTAATTGCATTATCAGGAGGTCAGCATGTATTCTGCGATGGTGCAAGTTGATTTTCCACCAATGGAATGGCCTTCCGTTGGAGGGAATTCTTCCAAACACATTACAGACCCTCACTTGCCTCCCATACTACTTGTAAAGTCCTCCCCGGTAGCAGAAGTCCTCCCCGGTAGCATGGACACCTTCAAAAGGGAATTAGATAAGCATGTGGAGCAGAGGTCCATCAGTGGCTATTAGCCACAAGGTATAGATAGGGGCTCTGGGGCAAGTGATGCTCTGTCATCTTGGTGCTTGGGGGGGTCAACAGTGGGAGGGCTTCTGGTGTCCTGGCCCCACTGGTGGACCTCCTGATAGCACTGGTATTTCTGGCCACTGTGTGACACAGAGTGTTGGACGGGATGGGCCTTTGGCCTGATACAATATTGGCGTCTCTTATGTTCTTATGTAATTTCAAGGGGTTTTGTAGGCTAGACTGGAGAGATGGGAAAATCCCATTCGGCAAGCTTTGTTTTTGTTCATACTGTCTTGAATTCAGTTATCTGTGTTTAAATACAATCAGAACATCACCGGAAATCTGCATCAAGACAAGTTGATATTTTTATAAATTGTGTATGAAATGCCGGTGGCCTTTTTGTGTGTGTGTTGCGTAACTTTGTTTTCTGTTTGCCATGGGTGAGGGTGTGAAGGTGCCGTTCCAGGCCCTGAAGGCCCTGCCCCCCTTCTTTTTGTACTTTGAAAACTTTTTCAGGTTTCCAGCTTTTCCAAGCTGATATTCAGACACAAACTTTCTCTGTTAGCATTCCATTTTCAGGTCTCATAGGGATGTCTTCTGTGCTCAGTACCAGTTCCCGTACTTGCTCCATTAGTTCAAGTAGCTCTATCAGCAAAGATTAATACAGCTCCAATATGATCATCATTCTTTATTTATGATCCAAAGATCCAACATTATAACACAGTCTGCAGCTAGTACACCCAGTGAGTGACGGTTCTGCGGTACCTGAGGAGTTCTATAGTATACAGATAGTTGGTGGCACAAAGTTTCGGGTGTAGTTCCCCACCGCTGGACAGAGGCATGCCCAGGCTCTATCAGTTTCGAGGCATGCCCAAGCTCTATCCGTTGTTTTATTATTTCTTTGGCTCCTGAGGGCCCAAGGTGGCAGGCTGCTGAGGGAGAAAAGCTGCATAGTCGTAGTTTATTCTCAACAGCGACCACCCAACCTGAGCGGTATGTATCTAGAAGGATTAAGGGGGCTAACCCAACTGGATTAAAGTTTAGTTTAAGACAGAGACATATTGTGCCTCTAGTGATACTTGTCCCGACTCTATTCTGAGGATTGTGTTCAGTGCACAGTGAGAGACACTAAATATACTCCTGAGGAATCTGGACTGTGCAACTTCTAGGGGGTGGATGTCTTTATATAAACAAATTTGTGAGCAATACAAAAGTTTGGATAGCTTGAAAAACTTTGATGGCGTAAAGAATGTGTGAGCCTCCCTTCGAAAAGGGAAATCTCAGGGTAGCTGATGCCGCTCTTCCAATAGGATCCTAGAGATGGATCAAGTTGCCTTCTGCCAGGCACAGAATCCTAATCCCTGCTTGATGGCGCTCTTCCAATAGGATCCTAGAAATGGATGAAGTTGCCTTCTGCCAGGCACAGAATCCTAATCCCTGCTTTCAGCGCTATAGAATAGAGTGCTAGCTAAGGGAGACCTACTGGGTATGTTCTTATGAGCCTATTGGGCTTTGCCCCTTGGAACCAACAGATGGCGGCAGGGATTTTTCTGTATTTTAAAGGCACAAAGGGTGTTGCTCATTCCTTAATAGGGTTTTCACTTTTCACATGAAAAATGTTTAAATGGTAATGGGAAGTGCTGAGGATTTGTTTGCAGTACTACATTACAGCAAGCATTTTTTTTTCTTTTAAACATGTTCACATTTCATGTTGTATTAATCTTCTCTTCAACTCTTTTCCAGAAATACTATTGCTGTGCGCCACCATTTCAGTTCACAGATAATGAAGTTGCGCATGTTTTCAGATACCATGGCCAACTAGCATCTGAAAGCTTGCTAAAAGCATTTGAAGATGAAGTAAGTGTACCGAGTGGGGAGGGGTTTCTGTTTGAACCAGGTTGCCTTGGCCAAAGGTCATAAGAACATAAGAACATAAGAGATGCCAAAGGCCCATCCAGTCCAACACTCTGTCTCACACAGTGGCCAGAAATACCAGTGCCATCAGGAGGTCCACCAGTGGGGCCAGGACATTAGAAGCCCTCCCACTGTTGACCCCCCCAAGCACCAAGATGACAGAGCATCACTTGCCCCAGAGTCCCTATCTATACCTTGTGGCTAATAGCCACTGATGGACCTCTGCTCCATATGCTTATCTAATTCCCTTTTGAAGCCATCCATGCTTGTAGCCGCCACCACTTCCTGTGGAAAAAGGTCAGCCAGCTCAAAGGATTCTTTTGTGTTGCTATCTTAAGATGTCTTCCTAATTTCTGCCAGTTTCAACAACAACATACTCCTTTGTAAAATTCTCAAAAGTTTTCCAGAACCTCTGCCTTCTTGGGTTTGTTATTTGTATTGATGCTCTTCTCCCTAATTGTATGTTCTATACTCCTGGAATCCGAAAGGATCTAGGAACCAGCTTCATGTATGAAAAGTGACCGGAGAATGTTTGTGAACAGTCCAAGCTTCCAATTCATTGTTTTTCAAATTGAAGCATTTGCTCCACCTTTCTCCCACATTTGGGAACTGAAAGTGGCTTACAGATCAATACAAACATGCATTTTGAACAAAGGCACACACACTGTAATAATCCCACATCCAGATTTTACCAGCCTCCCTTACTCAGTGCCACAGGCAGTGAGCTAAGAGCCCTTTGGCTCTTGCCCTTCAGCTTCTGCCAAAGGCTTGTGCCTCTTGCTGTGCCCAGGTTAAATACCTATAACAGAGAACATAAGAACATAAGAGAAGCCAATGTTGGATCAGGCCAAAGGCCCATCCAGTCCAACACTCTGTGTCACACAGTGGCCATCAGGAGGTCCACCAGTGGGGCCAGGACATTAGAAGCACTCCCACTGTTGACCCCCCCCCCCAAGCACCAAGAAGACAGAGCATCACTTGCCCCAGAGCCCCTATCTATACCTTGTGGCTAATAGCCACTGATGGACCTCTGCTCCATATGCTTATCTAATTCCCTTTTGAAGGCGGAACAGAAGCTCTGATCCAATCTCATTCAAATTCCGCCTCTACATACTTGGTGTCCATTATTGCTCTAAAGAAACATAATCAATTATAAGATGAAAGATTGCAAAACTGACTGTATTTCCATGCCTCTTTTTATCATCCATCCACTTCTGTTGAAATATACTTTCTCAAAACAGGTCTTTCCTCTTCTGACATTTCTAATAAAACATTAGATATTAATCACTTCATATTATTAACCATAATTTCCGCAAATCAGATCTGGTGCCGTTCAAGATCTGACATAACTGTATGTGGTTAATAATTCACACTGACGGCGACCTTGGATGATGCTTGACCAACCCTTTGATGTATGTCTTAGCTTGTTTAATTCAGTCATCTAAATGTATCGTTTCTGCAGAAACCTTGAGACTGTATACCTTCTGGGTGTTATTCTAGGGCAGTGATGGCGAACCTTTTAGAGACCGAGTGCCCAAACTGTGACCCAAAACCCACTTATTTATCGCAAAGTGCCAACACGGCAATTTAACCTGAATACTGAGGTTTTACTTTAGAAAAAACAACCCATACATTAACTTAAGATGATCCAAACAAAGTAAGGAAAGCAATCCCAAATGCTTTTATTTACTTAAAATTATTTGGCAGAGAATTCGACACTTTAATGATGGTCTGGGCCTGGCTGGGGCGATGGCCCACGTGCCCACAGAGAGGGCTCTGAGTGCCACCTCTGGCACCCGTGCCATAGGTTTGCCACCACTGTTCTAGGGGATTGAGGCATTTAGGTGTGAGGGGTATAGGTGACCTGTCATGCATTGACTTTAGTCAACTCCACTCAGTAAATACTACTTGTTCTCTTCAGGAAAATAAAATGTGCCCAATTGTGGAAGAACCTGGGTGTTCTGATACAGATGCATTAATTCCAACAAAGACCTCGGAACAAAAGGCAAGTATAAAGACTTTACATCATTTGAAGGATTCTATGGTTTTTTTCCCCGTGTATGGTTGCACTACACTATGACCATCTATCACTCGTGCAATCCTTAATGCAAGGACTGAATACATGTAAAGTGAAATATGCGAAAGATTAGAATACGTCGGGAAGTGGACATCTGAATCAAAGGTGTGATAGGTAGACTGTCTTTCAATGTTCCCTCTAAGCTGTGGAGTCTCGTGAGCAAAAATTCTACTTTGTGAGCTACTGGCATTAAAGTTGTGAGCGAGCCATTTGGCTCCTGCATTAATTAGTTAGCTCTGGAGCCATCCTTCCTGAGCTGAGACAAAAATGTGTGAGCTGGAGGATAAAAAACTGTGAGCTAGCTCACTCTAACTCAGCTTAGAGGGAACACTGCTGTCTTTATACTTATTTGTTCAGTTAGCCAAGATTATTATGGCTCCCACAAATTGTGAGTAATATAATAATTTGGTATTTACTACCCAGTGTACAGTTAAGTGCACACTAGTCAATGGGACTCAAGTGCACTTAAATCTATTTGGGATGGTAACTATTGTGATTTGCTTCCTATCTGACTGCTGTAGGGCTAAAAAGCCATTGAAGGAAATAGTGTTTTTGCATCCTATTCCTCTTCACAACAAAACTTGAATCTACCTAAGCTCCATTTCCATTATGAGGTGAGGATACACTCTCATTTCCTGACCTCCATTTTTTGGAACCTCAAAGAACTGAGTACTTTATTTAGATGTATATACCTTGCTTTTCTCCTAAGTGGAATTACAGCAATGTTCTCCCCTACTGCATTTCATCTTCACATCAACAATCCTGTAAAATAGGTTAGGATCAGGGGTTGTTTCGTAGAAAAAGAGCTAGGGGAAGTCATTAGCATAACTCATTAGCATATGCCACACACCCTGACATCACCGGAAGTGTGTCATAAGGCCACACACCCTGCCCCCAACGGTTCCGGCCGCCGGCGGCCTTGCAGCTCCACTGCCGAGCCCCATGAGGGGCCCGGCGGTGGACCTGCAAGGCCGGCAGGAGGGCAAGGAAGCCCCGCCAAGGCCCTCCCTGGCCCGGGAACCCCCACCCCCCCCACCCCCCCCCCCCCCGAAATGACCTCTGGTTAGGATAAATGACTGGCCAAAGGTCATCCAGTGAGTTTTCCATTGCAGAGTGGAGATTTCAACCTGTGTCTCTAAATCCCTAGTCCAACATTCTAATCACAATACTGGTATGTTTTGAATACACTTAAACCCCTTTCTCTAAGCTATTTACAAAAACAGTAAAAACGTACACTTTGAAACACATAGAGTCTGGGAATGTAGAACAGTTTTTATTTTTAAAAAATCTCCCCAAACAAACAGGTGTCTGGAATAGCAGGAATTAGGAATTGGGGTCAAAAGTCAATCCAAAAATTAAAGATCTGCATTAGACAAGTGTAGAGAAGAGAGCTTTTATTATGGTGGAAGTAGCAGAAAAGAGAAAATAATATTAAGGACTACTGTTGGTATCTTCTCCCTTCTGCACATGCAGAGAGAAATTCTTACACATTTTCAAAGGCAACATTTTTTACATGTGATTCTTAACAGTAACACCCTCCTGTTGTCAGAGTATATTTATAGGGTTTTTTAACTCCTGTATCTTTGTGCTCATACAAATCTGCTCTACAGTTTTGACATACATGTTTTATATACAGGATATCTACATTGAAGTTTCCCCTGGCACCTACACTATCTCAGCATCCTCAGGTGAAGATCAAGTCAAACAAACACATGTGGTAGAGATTCAGCCAGGACAAAGTGTACATTTGTCCTTTGATTTATGATCCATCTTTTTTTCCTTCATTTCTAAACAACGCACCAAACGAAATGGAGGCTTTGGTGTCTTGTCGTTCAGAAGGTGACATTTCTCCAGGTATATGCTATGAGCACTTTACTGTTCTGTCTTCCATATTTGGGTCAAGTCTTTAGGCTTTTTATCGTACCTGTATATTATGCTGTTACAGGTCCACTGTAAATACGTATAATATGAAACTTTGTATATATCTGTCTTAAATGGAACCATGTGTCACAGGTCTACTTTTATACTATGCAATAAACGTAAGCAGTATTAAAAAAAACCCTTTAATTGGTTGTGGGTTTTTTTGTTGTTTTTTAAAGATTCTCCTCTATTCATTCCAATAGCATCTTCATTAGAGGACAGAGGATAATGATTATTTTATTACTATGTGTCCTACACACACACATGATGGCACAGACAGAAATGACCAAAGCCATTATCAGTCTGTTTCTTTAGGCTGTCAAAAGCAGAAGCCATTTTGTACCTTTCCTTAGTAAAGGTAAAGGTTCCCTTGCTCGAAAGCCAGTCGAGTCCAACTCTAGGGTTGCGGTGCTCATCTCCGTTTCAAAGCCGAAGAGCCATCGCTGTCCAAAGACATTTCCGTGGTCATGTGGCCGGCATGACTAAACACCAAGGCGCACGGAACGCTGTTACCTTCCCACCGAAGTGGTACCTATTTATCTACTTGCAATTTCTTGCTTTCGAACCGCTAGGTTGGCAGGAGCTGGAACTAGAGGCGGGAGCTCACTCCGTCATGCGGCACACTCGGGGCTCGAACTGCTGAACTACTGCCCTTCCACAGCCTGCAGTTCAGCGTCTTAACCACTTGAGCCACCGCAGCTTTCCTTAGTATCTTACCTTTCCTTAGTATCAGTGAAAACATCACCAAATACTGGGCAAGCTTTCAGGTTCTCTGGATCAGGCTAGATTTTTTAAAAAGGGAGGTGGGATTGGAAGAAGGAAAAAGAAAGATGCCTCAGGCCATGACGTTGAGGCTTCTTGTCTGTACCTTGTGCAGGATGCAGGGCAGGCTTGGTTAGATTAGCCAGTGCTGAGTGGAGCTGGTATCATCCTGCACCTTAGCCTTCGGGGTTGAAGAAGGGGGGGAAATGGCCACTTCAATTTGAAAATTTTATAGAAGTAGATCCGTAGAAGTCTGTACAATGCAATGGAATACACAGGTCCCAAGGCTTAGAACAGATTTTGAAGAGATGCAAGAGTCTCTGCATGGTGGGGGCAGAGGTTTTGCTTCTATGTAAAGGTAAAGGTTCCCTTGCTCGAAAGCCAGTCGAGTCCGACTCTAGGGTTGTGGTGCTCATCTCCGTTTCAAAGCCGAAGAGCCAGCGCTGTCCGAAGACGTTTCCGTGGTCCTGTGGCCGGCATGACTAAACACCAAGGTGCATGGAACGCTGTTACCTTCCCACCGAAGTGGTCCCTATTTATCTACTTGCAATTTCTTGCTTTCGAACTGCTAGGTTGGCAGGAGCTGGAACTAGAGACGGGAGCTCACTCCACGTCATGCAGCACCCAGGTCTCGAACTGCTGAACTACTGACCTTCCACAGCCTGCAGTTCAGTGTCTTAACCACTTGAGCCACTGCAGCTCCTTGCTGCTATGGGGAACATTTATTTATGTCACTTGTACTCTTCTCCCCAAAGTGGTTTACAACACTCTCCACTCCTCCTTTTTATCCTCACAACAACACAGTGAAGTAGGTTAGGCTAAGTGTGTGTGTGACTGGGGCAAGGTCTTCCAGCAAGCTTCCATGGTAGATTGTGGATTCAGAGCGGGTTTCCTACATCCTAGTGTGACACTCTTTAACGGGCTCTCCTTTCCTCTCTTTGCCCTCATGCTGTGGTGAGCTTGGTCCCAATGGCTAGGAAATCTTGAAAGTGTCTCTTTCCTAGACTGTGAAAAACCCATTGTGAAGAGATTTTCCCAGTAGTCTCATACTTTGACCGCCATAAGATTTATGTAGTTTTACACCAACAACATCAACAAAATCACACATTTGCTAGCTCTTGTAAACAGTACCACTTGGAATTTATATAGACGAATAAATTCTTAACACTGTTAATGATAACTGGAAATTACTCAGTATAAGTCAAGAGAAATCCACAATATGATACAAATGTTGCCTGAGTTAACAGCAAGCTGACAACCACATGTGCGTGCTGAATGGTAATTGACTGTTTACCCTCCACCTGAAAATGGTTTTATACCTTCGTGGTTCAGGACTTGTTTCACAGTAAGGAGTCTTCGTGGAGACTGTTCGATAGTTTCAAACATGGCACTACGGTTCATTAAAATAGTTGGAGACCTATCCTTACAGGAGATTGTGCTGGTTTCAGCTCTCTTCGTTCCACAGCTGGTACTCCAAATGCTGATTCCTATAGACAACAGTAGAATACTTAATTTTGATTTTTAAGTGGTGATGCTATATGTAAGTTGCAGGTCATCTGCATTAATACTAGTATTTCAAATGGCATCCTCAAAATTGCATTAACATTTTTGTGGCTGTCAGTCTCCTGTAATGGCCTACCTGAGGGTGTTGAATGAAGGATAAGGGAACATACTCCTCCGTGGTTTGGGGAGGGTGAGTAACATTCATGGCTGACTATCAATGGTGGTAGAACCATAGATGTGGACCTGCTTGCCTGATAACATGCTGGCAGAGAGACTGAGGTTTTATTTGTTATGAATATGGTGACAGTGACCTGTAGGGGGGTTGGGGTCCTGTAGTAATTAGCTTTGCATAGATTCTAGTCACCTGAAGTAGGGTCTTTGTAAATAGTGTAGTATGCCTCCACCTAATGTTTCAAAGATTGGATGACGATCTGGTCACAGTAGCATCAACTCTTATTTGCAGTGCTTCTGCTGGAGCTCATTCATGTGAGTAGGTTGCCAGTCTATCATACCCTTTCAAACATTGTGCTTACATTAAGTGGCTCTGTAGAGTCAACTAAGTGGGCTTGCCCCTTTGTTGGAGCCATCTCCTATCTGCATTGAAATGACCCTTAATGGTGCAGAGCTTCTTCTCCAATGGTGGTGGGCTTGTGACATTGAACACCCATGTGCCAGCTATGAAACAAAGGCCTCTAAAGGCTATGATACAATTGGCAGAAAAAGCAATCCACCAATACGACAGGAGGGACAGTGCTAGGCAGTTATTTGGCACATTATTTCCCAATTGAAGTCCACCAAGGGCAATGATATTACCTTGACTATTATAAAAGGAGCTGGGATGACTTCTCTTCCAGTATTTCCAATCTGGTCTCCTGTTTTCTTTCAGTCTGGGCTTATCAAAAAGGGTGGAATCTGTGTTTACCGCATGATCTACCATTGGGGTCTTGGCCGGATGCTGCTCTTCACTGCTTGGAGAGTCTGAGGAGCATGAAGAAGAGCTGGATGTGGCAACAGCTGGTAGGTCTTTTGAAGGACCTTCCAGTGCTAGTTGTTGGGGGAAGAGCTTCCTGCTTAAATCTTCTTTAATACTTCTCAGGGAAAATTCAGCTGAAGAAGGCTGGCCCAACCAGCCTCTGGGTTTAAGGCAGCAGCAGGTATATTGTCTGTGTGCAAGCAGAGAGCACATATGATGGAAACAACTATGGGAAGGAGAGATACAGGGGCAATACGGCCACTGCCCTTTCAGAAGACCCTCTAAAGTACATGTGTGCATGGAAGCTGGTGCTGGCCTACATGAACAGATGCGACAGCTAGCCTGGTGACGCTGGCCTTCAGAGCTCTTCCTGCTGGTGAGAGGCATATGAATCATCTCCACAACCCTTTCCCACTGTGTCGGTGGAATCCACAAGGCCACACCCAGCGGGACGCTCACTTTCTTGCCATTCCAAAAACTGACCGTAATTTCTTCGTTTTCTTTGGCTGTTCAGGAGAAAATATAAGCTGCATTTAGAAAGGGTGCCACGTTCTTCAATCAAAGCTAATTAGGGTTGCCAACCCCCCCGGTTTCCAGGGGTCCCCCGTTTTTTGGGGGGGTTCTACCCGCTGCCAGCCAGATGGCCGGCGGGGGAAACCCCACCCCCAACACCCACAGCCACCCATCTCTCTCCCTTTAAGTGTGTGGAACCCATGTTTCCTCATCGCCGCAAGCTTGCAGGGAAATGCCAGCTTCGTGCTCTTAAAAGGGAAACGCGGCTGCTCTTAAAGGGGAAACGCCGGCTCCTGCATTTAAAAGGGAAACGCTGGCTCCTTTAAGTGCAGGGAACTGCTGTTTCTGGAGATCCGGCGCACGGGCGGCGGGGGGGGGGGCAGACGTCCCCAACGTGGTGTCATCACGTCGGGGATGCCCCGCCCCCTCCAGGAACGCCCCCAAAGTCCCCCGCTGGGGGTGGAAGATGGACTTGGCAACCCTAAAGCTAATGTTATTTTTTTAAAAAAATTGCCATCAAGTCAAACTGACTTCTGGCAACCTCTAGTGGGGCTTGAAGGCAAAGAGGCATTCTCAGAGGTGGCTTTCCGTTGCCTCCCTCTGCATCACGACCCTGGTATTCTTTGGAAGTCACCCTTCCAAATACTAGCCAGGGCCAGCCCTGCTTAGCTTCTGAGATCTGATGAGATCGGGCTTACCTGGGCTATCCAGGACTGGGCTCAAAGCCAACGTTCTTGATGATTAACTTTTGACTGCTAAAATGGTTATGCTTATCAAGCCACAGAGCCTGACCCCTCTATTCCAGTCAAGAAGACGCTTGTGATGATTCAGTGCCTATTAGTAGCATTATTCATCTAATAGTTACAAAACGTGCTCCAGTTATAACAGTTTGGACGCAAGCAATATGTTTCTGCTAGGTGCAAAATGACCATTAAGAAAAGGTCACGATGACCATGATTTAAGGCTGTGGAGGCAGAGCACAGCGCGTAGTTACTCTTAAGCTGTCAAGCCGCTAGTGCAGGCGGTAGTCTAAACTTCTGGAATTAACTGCTGTATATGAGTGGCTAGAACGTGTCTGAAGTTTTAGGGTGTGTCCAAATGGTGAACCAACTGTGGATGTGTGCTGACACCTTCCCTGGTCAGATGTGCCGCCTTCCTCAGAAGCGAGCCCTTCTTGTTTCTAACAGAAATCTGCTGCGTAGTTCTCATCAGTTGTGCCTTGGGTCAGTCACAAAGTCAGCCTCTCCTCAGCCACCTCCTGGGAAAAGTGCTGATTGCTATAAAGGAGTCCTCTCTCCAAAGCAGCCATTTTCTCTCTCATCTGGAGATGAGTCATCATTCCAGGAGGAGCACTCCAGCTCCCACCAGGAGGTTGGGAATCCTGCCTATGCAACCTGTGCGTGTGTCTGTAGAAACGTCCATAAAAAGCTGGATCCTCTGAAAAGGGAATCCAGGACAGAAGGCTAGACTGTCAGTACAGGGTATGTGAAGGAATTTAGTGACGAAACATCCAGGAGGTGATTCTAGCATTAGCATATCTGTGGCCCTGGTCACACAGGCCAGATATCGCGGGGGGGGAGGCGTGGCTAATTGCCCCGGCGCCGTTTGATGCACGATTACGTGATCAGACGCGCCGGCGGCACACCACGAGTCCATCCCTCGGAGCCGGCAGGTGAACGAGGGACCGGAGGGGAATGCAGCGTGCTGGCGCGATCACACCACGGGTGTCTGGAGGCAGCCCGTGGCAAACGTTTACTAATACCTTGGAGGTACCAGTTTTTTAAGGTGCATTGTTGGCGGTAAGCCACCAGTGCGCTCCACTTCCCAGATGTTGGTGTGTGATCGCGCCTGGATAACCCGCCCACCATCCGTGCCTCTCCCGCGGCAACTTTGCCATGTGACCGGGGCCTATATTTCCTTTGTGTTGCAAAGCTGTCCCGACATGACTTTACCTCTCAGGGGATCCCTGTGTTCAATTCCCAGAATGACTGTGCCAGGGCCATATCTCTTCTGCTCTGGTTCCCAAGGTGCCATCACTTTGTCGCCTGGCAATATGGAATGTTTCATTCCATTCACATACTCAAGAATGTCGCTGCTGGCTGTCGGTTGCACACAAGTTACGCTGTCTGCTGCAAAGGGCTTGGTGAACTGTACAAGGAATGTTCTTTTCTCACCCTGTGGTCAGAAAGAAAAAAAGAACGGCAAGGAAATACCTCATGGTTAGCGGTGGGGGAAACCGCCCAGCTCTTTTACAATGGCTTTAGGCCGCCAAAAGGAGAAATTCTAGGACTCCAACTATAGTAGGATGAAGTTCTTAAGAGTGGGAGAAAACTGCAGTTACTGCCCTGAGTTTAGATTAGAAAGAGGAGATTATAAAATCTATTCATACCAAAAGCAAGGGATCAAAACAGATGTGCCTTCCTCTAAGAGTGGGTATACTTTTGTCTCCAACATGATTCTCTTCTCTCCCATGGTTCAGGCAGGCTTTGGGCTTTTAAAACATTTAGCCCCATACATTATTTATGTTTATCCATTTAAATGTCTATTCAGTGCCTTTTTTAAAAGCTATGGAAGTAGAACATGAAGCATTGCTCTGTGCGGGGGTAGGGATGGCATGAGATTAAGATATAATTCCTCGTCCACTTGATTTTAGCAAAAGAATGACAAACATGTCCTAGTATGGAAGCAATTTTAGCTATTCCAATGCCGCTGGGTCATACGCAGAAGCAGGTCTCCACATGTGCATCCCTTCCCCTGTTATGAACCCTGCACACAGATACCTGGCCCGACACAAGATCAGGGGCTGTTTGCCTGATCTGTCCTCGATGTCAGATAATCAGTGATTCAGTTTCCCTGTTCTGTTTTTCCCCTGACCTGGTGATTGGAGCTATCCCCAATGACATGTCACCATGCCTAGATGCTGCATGTACCTGAATGTGAACTGGAAGAATTCTATGAATGCCCAGGTGTAGAACTCAGATTAAGTTATGCAAACGTAATACACATGTATGCATGGGTTGTCTGCAAGGAGCATGGCTACCTCACCAGAATTCTAAAGGTAGTGGGGGTTTTTTAAGTGCACTGCCAAATACACGGTACCAACCTGTCAGCAAAAAGTCTAGAATAATCTCTGAGCGACGTTGCTTTCTTAAATACCAAAGTTGTTATGTTTGGGTGTGTGTTTATTTGTGTTTATATGTATGTGTGTGCTGAGTACAGCCTGCCCTGTCTATATAGTCAAGGTAAAGGTAAAGGTTCCCTTGCTCGAAAGCCAGTCGAATCCGACTCTAGGGTTGTGGTGCTCATCTCCGTTTCAAAGCCGAAGAGCCAGCGCTGTCCGAAGACATTTCCGTGGTCATGTGGCTGGCATGACTAAACACCAAGGCGCACGGAACGCGGTTACCTTCCCACCGAAGTGGTACCTATTTATCTACTTGCAATTTCTTGCTTTCGAACTGCTAGGTTGGCAGGAGCTGGAACTAGAGATGGGAGCTCACTCCGTCATGCGGCACCCTGGGTCTCGAACTGCTGAACTACTGACCTTCCACAGCCTGCATATATAGTCAAATTACAGTGTTAATTCCATACATTGTGCTTTGTATAGAGATGGTAATGTAAACATATTCTGGATTCACTCCAGAGTCACTCTCCTTACAGCCTGAAAATCAGGCCTTTCAGACTTGTTCATCTGTTGGCGGGGGGAGGTGAAACAGACAACACTGGCTCTAGCTTACTGATCAGCAGAACAAAGTTTTGTTTTTTAAAGTTTCAAGTACTAACACCCTAAATAACTTGAAAGCTCATTTTCTTGTGTATGGAAGAGTAAAATGGCCAAGTTCACTCACAATAACTGATGGGATACTGTCCCCGGATAGCACAAATCCCCTGTGACACCTGGCATTAGGGTGAAAAATAAAAGATGCAGAGTGTCGGAATACCCCGTCCTTCACTTGGAGTCTCGGAGCGGCTTACAACCTCCTTTCCCTTCCCCTCCCCACAACAGACACCCTGTAAGGTAGAAGAAGAAGAAGAAGAGATTGGATTCATACCCCGCCCTTCACTACCCAAAGGAGTCTCAGGGCGGCTTACAAACTCCTTTCCCTTCCCCTCCCCACAACAGACACCCTGTGAAGTAGGTGGGGCTGAGAGAGCTCTGACACAAACTGCTCTTTCAAGAACAGCTCTGACAGAACTATGGCTTGCCCAAGGTCATACAGCAGTTGCAAGTGGAGGAGTGGGGAATCAAACCCGGTTCTCCCAGATTAGAGTCTGTGCATTTAACCACTACACCAAACTGGCCAAGCGTTCAGAGAAAGATAATCCCAGCCTTGCTACTTGGGATCCTTTATCATAGACAGAATCTGGGACTTTCTGTTTGCAGAGTATGAGCCCTGCAACTGAGCTGTACAATCTCCCCACAATATGATTTCCTGCTTTCAGCAATGCTGACATCGTGCTGGCTTCCATATACTGCCTCACAGCCCTATTAGACAGCCCTATCTTTTCTCCACCAACAAATGGAGTTAAACCGGGCAAGACAAATCACAGTGAAAGCATTAGTTTGCTGAGCTGTGCTGAGTGTCCTAATGGCGTCCAACATATCCTCAACAAATGGTTCATTGCTGGTCTGCCCTCAGACCTCTTGTAGCTTCGCAGTATCGCTGATCTCCTCTGCTTGTCCCGGCTGGCATCAACTATGCTCAGTGAAAACTGAGCCACACAGTGGACGGACCTTCGGGGCAAGAGAGCGCCCCAATTCTCTGGCATTATGCCATCAAAGAGGTCGCCCCCCCAGCGCCCCCTGGCCGGAGCCTTTCTTAAGGCTCACCTGGGGGTGTCACTTGAGGTGGCACCCCTCCGAACCACTGGTGAGCAAGTCGCCTCCCCAGAGATAGGGGAATGCGACCGCCATCGTCGAGCCACAGACCGGAAGTCACATATCCTCAACAAATGAACACTATGCAATAAATAGAACAGAGTTGCATGATGCTGCACTATGGATGCTTATGTCTGCTGTTATCTCTGTCCCTGTATGAGTTTTATAATCATCCGGATCAGTATAATCTTGTGCACCCTTGGTGAACCAAGTCAAACAAAGCTATCTGGAACTGGCCAATTTCTTTCCAATGACGTTTGTAGTGAGTGATATGTATGGACTGAATAATGTCTGTATGCACATGCTAGGAGATACTTACCTCTACCTTCTTTATTATTGTGCCGAGGTAATAATACCCATCAGCGTCCCTTCTTGCAAGAACTGGATTGCCAACCATGTCCAATGATTCCTCCAAATTCTTTATTGCCTTACATGTTGTATCAGGAAAACAGGAGCAACGGTCAAGACACAAGCACCTTTGAATAAAATGAAAGGGTGGAAAGGAAGAATTCTCTATCCATGACTAGAAAAGATATCAGCCTTCAACAGCCAGATAGTTGGTCCAGATGGAATACATTATGTTAGACGTGCCATACTTATTTCCATGTAATCGATGTCCCCGTTCCACTTGAAAATCCTGAGAAGGGTAGCCTCAATCATAGGAGTGTTGAATGGTGAAATAACATTCAGACGAGGAGTTGCCCAGACTATGTTTATCCCTACTACTCCTGAAACCCCTCCCCCCCACAAAAAAATGTTTACTACCTTGTTGGGAAGAATGGTTTAAGAGAGCAGGCAGGATGTGCTAATAAGGAACCACTGCAGATCACACCAGGATTCATTATAAAGCTTCCATTCGTATGTTTAGCTTCAATCGGCATTGCCCAGCAATGACTGTAGCATGGGAAAGAAGACCACAGGTTATCCATTCCTTTAAAGCGCTCACCTACAAAAAGGCATGAGGCATATTAAGCATTTTGAAGAGGGGAAACATGTTAGCAGGATTTAACAATGTGCTGTAATCAATCCATACCATGACTTGTGGGCTTTTTCTTGAATATCACCTGCAGATGCACTGTAACTGTTTAGAATCACTACATTCAGGATGTAAAGCTTCGCGGAGTGGCCGGGACTGATTTATGTAAAGAAAGCCGATTTGAATATCTCCTGGGGCAAAGAGGGTCTATTGTTTGAGCTTCTACAAAAGGATTATAAAGTTTTTATTGGAAAAATAAAGAAAGAAATAGACATTTCTAGAGTTAAATTAAATTCCTTACTCTTGTGGCAATTTTTTTAATGACGTCACACTTCATTGCTGAGATCAGATAAGTCTATTTTGTCTAGAGCTGCAAAGAATGTTAATTGTGTGAAAGGATTATTGGTTGTTAACACTACTGTGAGAGGCACTATCTGGTAAACAGGGTCAGCCTGAAAGACTCTATGAGCAAATAATCTGCAGAGTTTTTGAGTGTTGTTGGGCTGAACTGGAATTTTTGCTATTGCATTAATTTTATTTGTTTTATTTATTTATTTTATTGTATTATTTTATTTAAATGGGTGACCAGGACATACAGGAAAAAAATACCACATGACACATGCATAGATAGTTCTACAAAAACCAGCCTGCTGCAGTTGTCATGGGAGGAGCTTCAGACTTTAATTTATGATGAGAGGCATTTGAGCCAATATTTGTCAAAAAAAGGTGTTACAGCAAACCAAATTACTTGCAATAAAAAGGAATTCCAGCATCAAACAGCGCAAGAAGCAGAACAACACAGCACTCAAGTGGATCTAACATACAGAGAAAAGGAACTTAAATACCAAAATGGGCAAAATTTAGAGCAACATTGCAATCAAACTGATTTAACTTACAGAGAGGAGCCCCTACAACAAACTGGGCAACAGCACTATATTCAACTTGATTTAACCTACACTGAGAATAACAGATCTACAAAAAGTCTGCAAAACTCTGGAATCCTCAAAGTGATAAAGGGAAAAATATACCAGAGAGAAGATGGAACAGAGTCTATGGAATCCTTAACTACTCTACAATTTGAATATAGATGGCAAGCACTAAAAGAAATCCTTTTTACTTATAAGGAGAAAAGGCACAGAACCAAGACTTTATTGAAAACAAGAAATTACGAAAAGAAGAAAATATTTAAGCTCTATAAATGAGATAGGTCTAGGGAACCTTTGTTTCAAGTCTAATTAATTAAAGCAGGTCAGGGAACCTCTCTGTACATGTAACTGTTTAACATTGGTTATAATAAATTTTTCCCCATATCACAAAATTACAGCACACAAGGGTTAAAATGTATAAGCGAAGCTGATATTAAGAATATAAGGTTGTTATTAAGAATGCAGTTTGATACAAGAGACAGGCTAGAAAATTTACTTTTATTGACGTCAAAATACTTAGTATAATTAGAATGAGAAAAGTTTGTGATTATGAATCTGGAGAATGGTATAAATTTAGTTAATAGATAATTTTAGTTTATAGAAGACTATTGTAGAATGTTTAAACAAAAGAGAATTTATCATATTAATTGAGATGCAAAAATTATAGATCGTTGTGATTATGTAATCTTAAGATATATTCATAGCTAGACTTATAGAATAGGATTGTTAAATATCTTGACTGCAAAATATAGATTTGCAAAAATATTAGATGACTAAAATGGTGGGAAAATTTTCATTTAGATATATATGTATGAGGTGATTTAAGAGATAAGACGGTATTATTACTACTCTCGTGTATGTTTGTTTAAAATAATAAAAATTATTAAAAATAGCTTTTGTTCATCCATGTGCCTACTAATTCTATATTTAATAACAGATTCCACCAACTTATCTGATACCAACATTAGACTGACCAGCCTGTAATTTTCCCAGATCTCCTCGGGAACCTATTTAAAGATGGGGGTTACATTAGCTACTTTCCAGTCCTTGGGAATTGAGGCAGATTTTAGTAATAGAATGCATATTTTTGTCAGGAGATCCATAAGTTTACATTTGGATATATCTTGGATATATGCTATCTAAGCCTGGTGATTTGTTCATTTTTAATTTGTCGATTTGTCTGTCAGTTGTAGGACCTCCTATCTTGTCATCTCAATATGACCTAGGTCTTTCAACACCCCTTCAGACAAACACAGCTGACCACCTGGATCTATCCCAGAGTTAAGCTTCCTTTTGGGACCACTATTCCTACCTATAGCACTTCTGTAAATGAATCTATTTCTCTTACATTCTTAATTTTACAGGACTGTATACCCGCTCTGACATACAGAGCCACTCCACCTCCGACCATTCCCTCCGTATCCTTCTGCTATCATTTATATCCAGGAATCACTATATCCCACTGATTATTTTCTTCTCACCACGTTTCTGAAATGCCCACAGTGTCTATGTTCTCCTCTGACACTAAGCATTTCAGTTTCCCAATGTCACCTTGGACACTTCTAGCATTTGCATATAGACATTATAATTCCCCAGACATGTTAACCTTCCTCCTGTGGCCTCCAGACCTTGCCAGGCAGTCAATATTTGTTTGGCATCCTCTCAGTGGCCAGTCCTAATCCATTTCCCTCTAGAACAGTAACAGCTACCCCTTCATCTCTTAGAGATGAGTCATCCTGAACCAGAGACATTTCATCTCCTGTTGGCTTTCCCCCAAGATTTAGTTTAAAAACTACTCTGCAACCTTTTTGATTTTAAGTGCCAGCAGCCTGGTTCCTTCTCAAGACAAGTGGAGGCTGTCTCTTTCATACAGGTCCTGCTTGTTCCAAAAATCATCCCAGTGCCTAACAGACTTAAACCCCTCCTCCCTACACCATCATCTCATCTACCCATTGAGACTTCTGAGAAGGCTACTTTGGAGGTCCTGGCCTTGGGTCTCCTGCCTAGCAGCCTAAATTTTTCCTCCAGGACCACACAACTACATTTCCCCACCTTGTTGGTGCCAACATGTAGCACGACCACTGGCTCCTCCCCAGCACTGTCTACCAGCCTATCTAAATCACACATAATATCCACTACTTCCGCACCAGTCAGGCAAGTCACCATGTGGTCATCAATCACTTCGCAACCCATCTATCTACTTGCCTAAGAATCGAATCACCAAGAGCCCCTCCGCCCAGGGATGGTTCCTTGGTGCGAAAGGATACCTGTTCACAAACTCTAGAAGGGGTCCCTTCTAAGGGAACATTCCCCCTTTCTTCAGCACGGTGCTATGCCAGGAAATGATACACAAGATCCAGGTCTGTCTACAAGGAGATTTTAAATAAAGCATCAAACTTACAGAAAATGCAGGCTAAGTCTCCATCAGCTGGGCCTCGAGCGCTTGCATACACATCAAAGCTTGGCAGAACCCATGATCATATGCATAAATAAAACTAGGTGTCTTGTATGCTAAATGCTGGCTACCAGTCACATAATCATTAATTAAGCTATCCCAAACACCTGGATGAGTCAAGCCATCTTGTACCTGGCGTCCAGTAGGTGGAAGACACAACCCAGACCTTTGAAGATAAGGGCCGCTAACAAGCATGAGAGAGAGAGAAAAGTTCCCTTGGGAGCAGCCAATCACCATTCTATCACAAGACTCAGGGCAACTAAGCACCAGCATGTAACAAAGATGGAGTCATGCAGGCCATACAGGTGCCCTGTTTCCCCTTGACCCTCAGGCTCCCTAACAGTGGCAGGGCTGCCATTCTCAGAGTGGGACTCATCTAACAAGTCCATGAGTCTTATCTGTGTGCCTAACTGACTGTCTCTGCTTCTCCAGGTCAGCCACCTTGGCCTTGAGGGTGCAAACTCATTCATTGAGAACCAGGAGCTCCTTGCACCGAGCACACACCAATGACTTCTGTCCAACTGGCAGATATTCATACATGTTCCACTGGATAGCCCCCAACCCCTGCTGGCATTCTACCTTCATAATTGTTTCTTCTTAATCCCTTTTTAATAAATTTCCTATTTATGTAGATCTTACCCTTTTAGGGACATGGAGAGACTAGTGCTTCCTCACTCTGCTGCTGGACTCACACACCTGCTAAACATGCCTGATTATTCCTTTATTCCAGATACTTTGTCACTGGAGCTGGGACACTTCAGCCCTGGAGCAGGGCCTGCTACCTCGCAGAGTCACAGCTCTCACTCAGGGCTCTGGTGTGCGGGACTCTGTCTCCCCTAACTTAGTTCAGGAAGGTTGGGTGCTGTCTTATGCGTGGCCTGGCAGGTAGGGCTCAGCCCTTCTGTCAGAAGACTGGATGGCCCAGGTATGGGTGGGAGGCCATTGGCCCACTGAGAGATGTCCAGGTGCTCTTAATGGTAAAACTTTGCCCTGTCTGTGAGGTAAATTGGGCTGCAAATGTGTAACTAGCTCAAGGTCACACAGGTCCTTCCCGCACTTGGATCTTGCCAGGTCTAACAGACCTTGGGGGGTTCGCTTCAGCTTGCAAATTAACGATGCAACCACAGGCGCAGCTCCCGGCAGCAGTGGAAATATTTGTTAAAACAGTTCGTTTAATAGATAAAACAGTCTTTACACTCACAGGCTGTATACAGAGCAGAAAACAGCCCTCGTTGAAGCCATTGGCAATAAAACACGTAACTTACAAAGATAAAAATGACCATTCATAAAAGGAAGCTGCAGCTTTTCACCAATCAGTCCTCGCAGCACATTCCATAGCCAAGTCAGCCTGGGGAGGCGATCTGGGATGTCTTCCAGGACAATTCATCACATCAACGCCAAAGAAACTCTGGTGCGTCCTGTAACAATAATACTCCCATCTAACCAAAGCTCCAATTAGATAACGAAGCCTTGCAGCTGCTGGTAATTACCACGGCACACAGCCTCCCCTCCCTAAAGGTAGAATCCTGCCCAAACTTAGGCTCCTTTCTGATCACTGAGTCTTAGCAATTTATAAACTCATTTCTCTCATCTCTTACACCTCCCCCACTCCATCAGCTTGGGGGATACCCATGCTGGTGGAGTCATGCTGTTCACCTGCGGATTCTCGGGTTCATGAAGATGTTAAGTAACTTTTATACCGAATTCTATCTTATGGGCCTATATAAACTTCTGGCCTTAGTCAAGCTCTTCATAACGTCTAGATAGGGAGTCAGCCAGTATGTTGTCTTTTCCTTTTATATATATCACATTGAAGGAGAAGTCTTGAAGGCTTAATGCCCACCTTAAAACTCTGGAATTATTCTCCTTCATTTTGTGTATAAATGTTAGTGGATTGTGGTCTGTTTCAAGATCAAAATGCACTCCCCTTAAATATGTTTTCAGTTTGTTCAATCCTCATACCAAGGCTAGCGATTCCTGTTCCATCACACTATATCTTTTCTCCCTTGGAAGCATCTTACAACTGAGGTATACCACTGGATAGAGACGTCCATCATGGTCCCTTTGCATGAGAACCACCCCTAATCCATTTTAGATGCGTCTGTTCTTACTATAAAGGGTCTTTTGTAGTCTGGATGTCTTAAAATGGGGGCTTGAGTCAAATGTTATTTTAAGGCCTCAAAAGCCTTTTGACAATCCAGTCGTCACTGCACTCTAGTGGGGGCATTCTTCTTACATAAATCTGTAAGTGGAGCAGCTAGCTCACTGAATCCTGGTATAAACCGGCGATAAAACCCACATGCTCCTAGAAAGCTTAGGACCTGCTTCTTTGTTACTGGGGTTGGCCACTTAACTATAGCCTCTACCTTTACCTGGTGGGGTTTGATCTTGCCCCCCCTATTTGGTGTCCTAAGTACGAGACACTGTTACTGGCTATCTGACACTTAGCAGGTTTAATAGCCAGTCCAGCCGTCTGAATTCGTTGGAGTACTGCTTCTAGATGTTGCAAGTGTTCCTGCCAAGTTGAACTAATGATGGCGATGTCATCTTGATACGCCACAGCATAATCAAGGCCCTCCAAAACCTTATCCATCAACCTTTGGAAAACTTTACTTGCAGAGTTGATTCCAAATGGTAACACATTAAAACGAAACTGACCCAGAAAACATATAAATGATGTTCTCTCTTTTGCCCTTTCGGTTAAAGGAACTTGCCAATATCCACTAGTTAGATCTAAGGTGGATATATACTTTGCATGAGCTAATCTTTCCAATGTTTCTTCTATATTTGGGGTCGGGTACTGATCTACTTTACAGAGCTTGTTGAGTTTTCTGTAATCTACACAAAGTCTGTACTGTAAGGGATCTGTCTCGCTCAGCCTCTTTTTGGGTACTATAACTAAGTTACTAGACCACTGAGAAGAGGTCGGTTTAATGATACCCATTTCCAACATTTGTTGGTTTTTTTCCTGATGCGAGGGGCCACGAATTGGGACAGTAGGGGACTTTACTGGCTCAGCATTTCCAGTGTCCAGATCATGTTTAATTAGGTCTGTTTGACCTGGCCGGTTGGTGAA